TGCGGATATATTCCTGGCTATCTTGTTGTATGCTGATAACATAGTTCTCCTTGCCGAGACCAAAGATGACCCCCAGAATATGTTGAATATTGTTAGTTTACGGTGTGTAAATCAAGAGAAGACCCAGATTGTTCATTTCAGAAAGAAGGGGGTGCAGAGAAGTACACATAACTTTTGTTTTGGTACAACCCCATTATTCTACACTGGGCTCTATAAATACCTTGGTTTCACTCTGGTGAACACATGCATCCTGACTGGTTGCATCACCGCCTGGTATGGCAACTGCTCGGCCTCCGACCGCAAGGTACTACAGAGGGTAGTGCGTACGGCCCAGTACATCACTGGGGCCAAACTTCCTGCCATCCAGGACCTCTGTACCAGGCGGTGTCAGAGGAAGGCCCTAAAAATTGTCAAAGACTCCAGCCACCCTAGTCCTAGACTGTTCTCTCTGCTACCGCACGGCAAGCGGTACCGGAGCGCCAAGTCTAGGTCCAAAAGGCTTCTTAACAGCTTCTACCCCCAAGCCATAAGACTCCTGAACAGCTAATCATGGCTACCCGGACTATTTGCATTGTCCTTGGTGTGCACAAACTTGGTGTGCACAAACCTGGCCATCTTTGGAGATATGAGTTGGGAACCATGTGTGGTTAGGCAAAAAGGTGACATGGTACGTCTATGGAACAGACTGATAAATATGGCAGAACACATAATCACAAAAAAAAGGTGGACGTTACTCATAACTATCCGTGGGCTAGAGAATTATCATTTTTTTTGTGAAACTGATTTGCAGTATATATCCAGGAACAAATTACCATATGGTGTTAACTAAATCAAGGACAAGCTTTTTCTGATCCACAAGAAAAAATGGGCAGTTGATGTTTGGTTTAAACCAGAATTTTGAACGTACACTCTTATCAAAAAGAACTACACCCCTGAGCCTGATCCTAACAAAAAGCCAAAGGTCAGTTTGTGCACAACTCAGATCCGGCACCCTCCTTCTGGCTATAGATACGGTTAGATTTAACAGAGTGTCTGAAGAGGAGAGAATGTGCCTACTATGTGATCTTGGGGAAATCGAAAACTAAATCCATTTAGTGTTTTATTGCCCTCTGTATGACGATCTGAAGAAAAAACAATTGGTGATAACCCTGAGGAATTCTGGTTACAGGACGAACAGAGGCTTACATTTTGTTTCAGACAGGGCATATTTGAGATTGCTCAGTTTGTTCATAATGCCTGGAGGAGAAGGAGAAATGTACTGTTTGTGTGATGTGGCTAGATGGTCGCTGTACTGGCCATGATTATTGTATGCATATAATTTGTAAAACGTTATTTTGTTCTGTAGTGTCTTGTAAGCCCATGTGGGCCTTGCACCGGTAGGTGTATGACACTTAAATAAATTATATATATCATCAATCAATCAGGTACAGACTACAGTCTGCAGTACCTGCACTGGGATCCATAAAGTTCCTGACGCAATGTCACTTTCTACCGCTAGGAGGCAGCACACACCTGTAGAAGTATGGCCACAGAACATTGAGGAGGGTTTGGAGTTTCATAATGAAATGACTTGATATTTAATATTGAATGGCATATAAAGCATTACCCTTGCAATTTCCATAGCTTTTATGTCAGAATCTTATATTCCATGCCTTAGACCTAGTCCTAGCCATATGCCGGGCGGCAGGTAGCCTAGAGGTTAAGAGTGTTAATAATAATAATATGCCATTTAGCAGACGCTTTTATCCAAAGTGACTTACAGTCATGCGTGCATACATTTTTGTGTATGGGTGGTCCCGGGGATCGAACCCACTACCTTGGCGTTACAAGCACTGTGCTCTACCAGCTGAGCTACAGAGGACCACGTGTTGGGCCAGTAACCAAAAGTTGTTGGTTTGAATCTCTGAGTCGACTAGGTGAAAAATATGCCGATGTGCCCTTGAGCAAGGCACTTAACCGTAGTTGCTCTGGATAAGAGCATCTGCTAAATGACTAAAATATGACAAAATAGATACATATTTGTTGCACCACTGCACTGGGTTCTGTGACAGGATATGACATCAGAAACCAGGCCATTGTATCTGGGCGTGAGATGAGCAGGTGGTTTAGGTCAGACATGGGGTTGGGTTGGGTTCATAATGCTAAACACACAGGGCAGGACAGGGCTCCATGGGTTATCACCGGGGCAACCCTGTAGTGTCAAAGGGCACTATACACAATTGGCTGGCCCACAGGTGGCTTGGACTTTTCAAGGTACTTTCCACAGACGGGCTGCCTGGGCAGTGTGTCTCTATCCGCCCACCCCATTCCCTAGTGTGAGGAGTCCGTCCAGTTCATACAAGCCAGAAGCCCAACAATGGGACCAGGGGCCAGATTTCACCTCCAGGCCAGACCAGACACAGTGCTGCTGGGAAGGTCCTGACTGTCCTGGGAACAATGAGCTGCTGAGCTGTGTCTTTTCACACAACCAGTGGGGAGGGAGGCAGGGGAGAGATGAGACAGCACAGAGACAGTAACATCTACTGGTAGTAGTCATCCTGCAGACTGTCTCAACCACAGAGTCTGTACAGTATTATCAGACAGATGTAATGACAGTAAACACCTTTACCTGTGCCAATAGATGCGTGTGGAAAGACATTATCATGAAAAGTACCTTTTGTTTACAAATTGTGTAATTATGGAGACATCACCAAGACATTAACATCTGGTATCTACTGGTAGTCATCCTGACTGTAGACAGCCTTACACCAAAAGTAATCTTGGTTAACCCAGAACTAAAGTCTCATGTAATTGGTCAACTGCTCGATTAAGTTCTGGGTCCATACATGTTAAGAGATCAAGAAATGCTAGAATAAAGAGTGGAACCGGAATGAGGAGCTCCACCCTTTCTCTTTGCAACTTACGGGCCAAATGTCCCCTCCCCTTCCAAAATTCGAAAGATGCTAACACCTGCAAAATTATTTGTTCAAATAACCAGAGACGAAAAACGCAAACACCGTAACTACTGCTGCTCTTTTTCTACGCATGCTATTTAGTCCTGACAGATTCTCTTGGTTTACATGCAGAATTTGTCCACGAGAGATTACACCCACAGCAACTTCAACCACATAGCTGTATTATCGGAGAGATACAAACTGACTGTACTGTGAACACCTTTACCTGTATGGCCAAATGGATGTGCCCTGTTAAAAGTTGGTGGCAGCTCAGTTGCCACTAGTTTGAGTATTGCACTTGTGATTGTGTATGTACGTGCATGTATACATACAGTTGAAGTCGGAAGTTTACATACACTTTAGCCAAATACATTTAAACTCAGTTTTTCACAATTCCTGACATTTAATCCTAGTAAAAATTCCCTGTTTTAGGTCAGTTAGGATCACCACTTTATTTTAAGAATGTGAAATGTCAGAATAATAGTAGAGAGAATGATTTATTTCAGCTTTTATTTCTTTCATCACATTCCCAGTGGGTCAGAAGTTTACATACACTCAATTAGTATTTGGTAGCATTGCCTTTAAATTGTTTAACTTGGGTGAAACGTGTCGGGTAGCCTTCCACAAGCTTCCCACAGTAAGTTGGGTGAATTTTGGCCCATTCCTCCTGACAGAGCTGGTGTAACTGAGTCAGGTTTGGAGGCCTCCTTTCTCGCACACGTTTTTCCAGTTCTGCCCACACATTTTCTATAGGATTGAGGTTAGGGCGTTGTGATGGCCACTCCAATACCTTGACTTTGTTATCCTTAAGCCATTTTCCCACAACTTTGGAAGTATGCTTTTGGTCATTGTCCATTTGGAAGACCCATTTACGACCAAGTTTTAACTGCCTGACTGATGTCTTGAGATGTTGCTTCAATATATCCACATAATTTTCCTTCCTCATGATGCCATCTATTTTGTGAAGTGCACCAGTCCCTCCTGCAGCAAAGCACCTCCACAGCATGATGCTGCCACCCCCGTGCTTCACGGTTGGGATGGTGTTCTTCGGCTTGCTAGGAACCCCTTTTTTCCTCCAAACATAATGATGGTCATTATGGCCAAACAGTTCTATTTTTGTTTCATCAGACCAGAGTACATTTCTCCAACAAGTACGATCTTTGTCCCCATGTTCAGTTGCAAACCGTAGTCTGCCTTTTTTATGGCGGTTTTGGAGCAGTGGCTTCTTCCTTGCTGAGCGGCATTTCAGGTTATGTCGATATAGGACTCGTTTTACTGTGGATATAGATACTTTTGTACCTGTTTCCTCCAGCATCTTCACAAGGTCCTTTGCTGTTGTTCTGGGATTGATTTGCACTTTTCGCACCAAAGTACATTCATCTATAGGAGACAGAACGTGTCTCCTTCCTGAGCGGTATGACAGCTGCGTGGTCCCATGGTGTTTATACTTAGTACTATTGTTTGTACAGATGAACGTGGTACCTTCAGGCGTTTGGAAATTGCTCCCAAGGATGAACCAGACTTGTGGAGGTCTACAAAATGTTTTCTGAGGTCTTGGCTGATTTCTTTTGATTTTCCCATGATGTCAAGCAAAGAGGCACTGAGTTTGAAGGTAGGCCTTGAAATACATCCACAGGTACACCTCCGATTGACTCAAATGATGTCAATTAGCCTATCAGAATCTTCTATAGCCATGACATCATTTTCTGGAATTTTCCAAGCTGTTTAAAGGCACAGTCAACTTAGTGTATGTAAACTTCTGACCCACTGGAATTGTGATACAGTGAATTATAAGTGAAAAAATGTGTTTACTTGTGTCATACACAAAGTAGATGTCCTAACCGACTTGCCAAAACTATAGTTTGTTAACAAGAAATTTGTGGAGTGGTTGAAAAACGAGTTTTAATGACTCCAACCTAAGTGTATGTAAACTTCCAACTTCAACTGTATGTCTACCGACCTCCATATTTCTTTTGTCTAACCTCACCCCCATCTTTGCCCTCCAGGTGGCTGGACGTGGGCGTTGCCCACCTGACCAGTGCTCCCTGCTGGGTGATCTACCTCCAGGTGATGCAGGAGGCAGTGTGGCCCGGGGGTGTCCTCCCTGATGGGCCCCGTCCCGACCGCAGCCCCATCCAGAGAGAAGAGACCAGGCAGCAGTGTCTGCACTGCCTCACACAGCTACTACCAGGTCAGTGTCGGCACTGCCTCACACAGCTACTACCAGGTCAGTGTCTGCACTGCCTCACACAGCTACTACCAGGTCAGTGTCTGCACTGCCTCACACAGCTACTACCAGGTCAGTGTCTGCACTGCCTCACACAGCTACTACCAGGTCAGTGTCTGCACTGCCTCACACAGCTACTACCAGGTCAGTGTCTGCACTGCCTCACACAGCTACCACCAGGTCAGTGTCTGCACTGCCTCACACAGCTACTACCAGGTCAGTGTCTGCACTGCCTCACACAGCTACTACCAGGTCAGTGTCTGCACTGCCTCACACAGCTACCACCTGGTCAGTGTCTGCACTGCTTCACACAGCTACCACCAGGTCAGTGTCTGCACTGCCTCACACAGCTACCACCAGGTCAGTGTCTGCACTGCTTCACACAGGTACTACCAGGTCAGTGTCTGCACTGCTTCACACAGCTACTACCAGGTCAGTGTCTGCACTGCCTCAAACAGCTACCACCAGGTTAGTGGTTGTAGCTGATCAGTGTCTGCACTGCCTCAAACAACTACTGGCTCACACAACTACTGACGGGTCAGTGTCTGCACTCTGCACTGCCTACACAACTACTAACAGGTCACTGTCTGCACTGCCTCACACAACAACGACCGGGGTTAATGTCTATGCTACCAGGTACATGGGTCAGGTACGTGGGTCAGAGTCATGCTACCCAAGCCATTTAGATCAAATACTGTATTTTACATTTACATTTTAGTCATTTATCCAGACTCTCTTCTCCAGAGCAATTTACAGGAGCAATTAGGGTTAAGTGCCTTGCACAAGGGCACAGACAGATTTTTTTCACCTAGTCGGCTCGGGGATTGTAACCTCTAGGCGACCTGTATGGGAACCATATGGGAATCACAGGTGTATTAGGTAATTGTACTGTCCCCTTATTGCCATTTTAACGTGTTTGTGTGTGTGTGTTTGTGTGTGTAGACCTGATTTCTGACATGCTGGGTTCTGAGAAGTACAGGCTGAGCTGGGATATGGCACTGGAGTCTCTGCAGGACCCTAACATCAACCGGTGAGCCCCCTATCATCACTGGCTTTAGCATTTTGGTGTGTGTGTATAGTAGGGTTGTTAAACCTAAAATGTCAATGTCACATACAGGCCAAACATTGAGCGTTTGATCCATGTCAACTTCAATCTGACCTATGGTAACCTCTCTCCTCTCTCTGTGTCTGGGAGATTCTACAGGCACCTGATCTACTGTATCTGTGACCTGCTGTTGGAGTTCCTGATTCCAGAGTCTTCAGAGGAGGGCTTTCAGAGATCTCTACTACACAGTCTCTTTGGGGATGAAGAGAGGCTGTCTGCTTCAGCTTGACGACACAGCAACACACAACCCCTCTCTCTGCTCCCCTGTTACTATCCCCATCTACCACCCTCCCATCCTGGTTGGCTCATCAATATGGTAACCATGGTCCTGCTAGGTTTGTTAGAATGGGAACTTCTCATGACGTCAGAGAAGAGGAATGAGGAGGGGGAGGAGGAAGAGGGCTGGGGAGACGTAGGAGGGGTGGGGTGGGGGGGGGGGGGAGGAAGAGGGCTGGGGAGACGTAGGAGGGGTGGGAGGGGGGGGGGGGGAGGGCTGGGGAGACGTAGGAGGGGGAGGAGGAAGAGGGCTGGGGAGACGTAGGAGGGGTGGGAGGGGGAGGAGGAAGAGGGCTGGGGAGATGTAGGTGGGGTGGGAGGGGGAGGAGGAAGAGGAAGAGGGCTGGGGAGACGTAGGAGGGGTGGGAGGGGGAGGAGGGGTGGGAAATGGACTCTTGAACTCCTTACACTTTATAGGCAACGCTCTAAAAGGACTGAGACACTTTATTGAATGTATTCTAATGGCACTGTGTTGATGATTGTGCTAATATTGTGTTTTAATCAGGTGCTTGTGTAGAGAAACACATTTATGTAAATATGTATGTACAGTATATGCAGTAATTATTTGATGTTTATTTATTTATATGTACAATACAGTATGTGTGATATCAATAGATATACACTGGGGTCCGAAATTATTGACACCCTTGATAAAGATGAGCAAAAATGACTGTATAAAATAAATAATTCAAATACTGAGCTACTGTATATTGTATGCAAATAAATAATTGGGAAATTATATTGTTTTATACTAATACAATTGCTCAGAGAAAGAGATTTTGTTTATTAAGTAATATATATATTTTTTTTAAGGTAGGGGTCGAAATTATTGACACCCCTGTTTTCAATACCGTTCAATACCTCACCTTGCGAGGATTACGGCACTGAGCCTTTTTAACAAATGTTTTATGAGTTGGAGAACACATTGGGAGGGATCTTAGACCATTCCTCCATACAGAATCCTTCCAGATCCTTGATATCCTTTGTCTGCGCTTATGGACTGCCGTCTTCAATTCAAACCACAGGTTTCCAATGGGTTTCAAGTCGGGAGACTGATATGGCCATTGCACAATGATAATTTTCTGGCCAATTAACCATTTCTTTGTGAATTTTGATATGTGCTTGGGGTTATTGTCTTGCTGGAAGATCCACTTGCGGCCAAGTTCCAGCTTCCTCGCAGAGGCAACCAGGTTTTGGGCTAAAATATCCTAGTACTGGGTAAAGTTCATGATGTCGTTGACCTTAACAAGGCCCCCAGGACCAGTGGAAGTAAAATAGCCATAACATCAAAGATCCACAACCATATTTTACAGTAGGTATGAGATTATTTTCTGTTTATGCATTCTCATTTCACAAGGCTCCGTCCAAGGTCAAAGCTATCTTGGATGCCCTAGCTCCTCAGAACGTGAGCCAACTACATTCGTTCCTAGGGTTACTGAATTACTATGGACGCTTTATCCCAAGCTTAGCAACGAAGCTGAAGCCGCTGCATCAGTTGCTTTGCCAGGACTAAACATGGAAATGGACAAACAATGCGAGGAAGCATTCATGAAAACCAAGGAACACTCCTGAAATCTGACGCACTTCGACCCGTCTTTGCCCATCCAACTAGCTTTTGTTGCTAGTCCATATGGTGTGGGAGCAGTCGTGTCCCATATCATGCCTTCCAGTGAAGAGAAGCCGATCGCTTTCGCATCGAGGACATTGAACAAAGCAGAAAGTAACTATGTACAGATAGAACGTGAAGCCCTAGGTAATGTTTTTGGAGTGCATAAGTTTCACCAGTATCTGCACAGATCATCGTATGCTGAGGAGCATCTTTGGATGCAAGCATTTTTATTTGATTTATTAGGATCTCCATTAGCCGACGCCAATGACGACAGCTAGTCTTACTGGGGACCGACACAACGAAAAAGACGTTATAGACAAAATACTTTACATTTACATGTGCATCTATCAGTTACACATACATGTCAGTACATACACACAACAAGTAGGTCACATGGGGGAGAGGCATTGTGCCGTGAGGTGTTGTTTTTTCTGTTTTTTAAAACCAGGTTTGCTGTTCACTTGCGCTATATCAGATGGAAGGGAGTTCCATGCACTCATGACTTTGTATAATACTGTACGTTTCCTTCAATTTGTTCTGGACCTGGGGACTGTGAAAAGACCCCTGGTGGCATGTCTGGTGGGGTAAGTGTGTGTGTCAGTGCTGTGTAAGTTGACTATGCAAACAATTTGGAATTTCCAACACAATGTTTCTTATAAAAACAAGAAGTGACGCAGTCAGTCTTTCCTCAACTCTTAACCAAGAGAGACTTGCATGCATAGTATTAATATTAGCCCTCTGATTACAATGAAGAGCAAGACGTGCCACTCTGCTCTGGGCTAGCAGCAGCTTAACTAGGTCTTTCTTTGCAGCACTATGTGACTGGACAATAATCAAGATAAGATAAAACTAGAGCCTGCAGGACTTGCTTTGTGGAGTGTAGTGTCAAAAAAGCAGAGCATCTCTTTATTACGAACAGACCTCTCCCCATCTTTACAACCATTGAATCTATATGTTTTGACCATGACAGTTTAAAATTGAAGGTAACACCAAGTAATTTAGTCTCCTCAACGTGTTCAACAGCCACACCATTCATTACCAGATTCAGCTGAGGTCTAGAACTTAGGGAATGATTTGTAGCAGAATGCAAAGGTAGGCTTTGTTGTTGTCAGCACACACCTACGACATCAAGTACTTCAAGTCAGAACTGCATTGCAATGCAGATGGACTTTCCAGGTTAACACTACCTGTCAAAACCAGAGTCACGCCAAGTGGACATCTTCTACGTCAGACAAGTGGAAAACGCACCAGTCACTTCAACACAAGTGCGGAGAAACACCAGAAACGACCCAGTGTTATCTGAAGTGATGGACATCACGCATACACGTCGACTTCGAAGACAGACTGTTTCTCGTGGTTGGAGAAGTGTTTTAGTCAGTTCGGATCGGCACTCCAACTCGTTAACGACAACGGGCGGCAGCTAGTGTCCCAAGAAATGGTCACGTTCCTACAGGTGAATGGCGTACAATACATCAGGTCCTCACTGTATCACCCATCTACCAACAGGCTGGTGGAGAGGTTCGTACAGACCATGAAACATGGCTTAAAAGCGTCTCAGGGTAAAGGAACAATGCACCAACGCTTGAACAGATTCCTGCTATCCTACAGGAACGTGCCTCACACAACCGCCAAGGCTTCGCCTGCATCGCTACTCATGATGAGAGAGCTACGCAAAAGCTTTGACCTACTCAAAACTCTGTACACAAAGGAGAGTGTGACATCAACAGGAGAGTTAAGTAAACATTTTCAACTGAGAGCAAAGGACAGAGCTTTCAATCCTGGAGAAACTGTTTTAGCTAGGAACTATGTCAAAGACCAAAGTCGGTTCCTGCTACGGTCATTGCTCAGACTGGTCCTGTGTCCTACACTGTCCAGACTGCAGAGGACCTCATCTGGAAAAGGCATACAGATCATTTACTGTTGAGTAAAGCCACACCAACAGAACCACCAGTCGTGAGTGGTCCAGAACTGTTACTGGGTGACACCCTGACCAAGTAGTCGTCAACTAGGGGCTCACAGTCACCTTCTCAGGATTATTGTTCATAATGGGGACAATTTAAGTAGGCGGGGAGGAGATTTGGTGTATTGGGGTTATGCCGCAGAGCATCATGGGGGTTCTATGTACTGAGATGAGCACGTTCATATAAATGGTTGAACTGAATTCTTGTCTGCCGTCTTATCATTATTGAATTGTTATAAAGACATGGTTATGAAATCCACGAGACAGTTGTCCTATCAAAATCCGAAGTTGACAGATCACTTTCCATTGTCTGTTGAAGAAAACAAATAAACATTTTCAGTCGTTTTGCATTTATTCAGAGTCAGACAGATTTAATGTAAGGTAAGCTACTGAAAGACATGGCATGGGACATACTCATCAGAGAGATTCCACAGGATGTTGAAGAGGATTGGACATCAGAAGTCATCCATATTGGAGGGGACACCAGAAGCTAAAAACAAAGAGAAAACAATCTTTCATCATAATATCCAATTAATGACTTCCTGTATGCTCACTAGTGATACTGTTTCTGTAGAGTGAACAAAGACCAAACTGATATTCAATTCTTGTCTCTAACCATGTTTCCATCCACAGTTTTTATGCCAGTAAAGTAATACTGTATAAGAAAAAATCATGACAGCTGTGATGGAAACAGGAAGTTTCGGTAAATTTTTATAAATGCCAACAGATAATTTGTTTGTTCGACATGGTGGGATCTTTTTGTGTCAGTAAAATGTATTATACAACAAATGGCGGTGGAAACGCCTTTATGCGCAAATATTGATCCAATAGCCATCGTATCGAAGTGAACTTGGAGTTACGCGATGATGGACCTTCCACTATGACTCCGGAAACCATGCAGTTTATTGGGCTACAGATGAACTTCACAGGGTGGTGAAAGTGCACGGTGAGCTTGATGCTCCTTTTCAATAAATATTTAGAGTCTTATTCTGGTGACATGATGATCGATGCTTGACCGCCATTGAACAAATAAAAATATTATCGCTCTTATCTATAATAATCTCATCATGTAAACTAGCCTACCCACACTGTATGTGCGAGCTGTTGGCTAGAGCACATATATGCCAAGACCAGAGTAGGCTCATTTTATATTTAACGCAACAGTTTTTGTGACAAAACTATCGGTAGAGTTGAAAATGCAATGGAAACATATTGAACTTTAGATTTCTATTCAGTACATGAAAATTTAAGCTAGAAAGTACATTTTGTGCACTACGTCATCACACACCGATTTTTGTCTGCGAACACACCACTAGTGGGAAAATGCTCATATTTTCTTTGTGCGGATTCTAGAATTATTTGCATGGAAATCTCTCCAATTGAA